AGAGCAGCCTAAGAAGAGGATAGAAATTCAAACAGCGTGATTAGGGGGTCAGGCTAATTAAATGTCCTCTTGGAAATACTTGTAATCCTTTATCCAACCTTTCCATAAGGGACTTCAAGGAGTCAGTTCATTTCAGAAAGAAATATCCAAAAACCATGCAGATTAGATGCTGCCCTGCAGGGGGCTTTTTCTCCTGGCATCACAATAAGCTTTGACTGGTGAGAAAACAGCTTTTCTATTTCCCTGGGCTCTGTCTTATTGGAGAGGCAGCTGAAAAGTTATTCCTCGTCTCCAAGGAGTTTTCAGATGCTAATGACTTGCCAGGGTGACAAGTAACTGCAAGCTGTGGAGCCATGATGTTTCTGCCACGTTCCTCTGCCTTTGAGAGCCAACGAGGCAGTACGGACCAGGCAGAATTGGGAAAGAGCTTTGGTTTTGAAATCTGGCAGCCCTGAGTTTCAACCACAATTCTGTCACAGATAACTACATCATCTTGGGACAAATCGCTTCTGTTTTTGAGCATCAGGGTACTCATCTGTAAAATGGGTATATATTTTGCAAAGTAAGAATTAATGCACATAAGATTAGAATCTATTAGCTGTCTATTACTGCATTTACCCTCACAAAACAGAGGCACTCAGGATCTCCCAGTTTCTGTGAGTGAGCAATGTGGGCATGGCTTCACTGGTTCATTTGATTCTTACAAGTCTGAAATCATGGGAAAGGGGTCCTGATCCAGACCCAAGAGAGGGCTCTTGGGGCTCACACAAGAAAGAATTCAGGGTGACTCCACAGTGCAAAGCAAAACAAGTTTGTTAAGAAAGTAAAGAAGTGAAACAATAGCTACTCCATAGACAGAACAGGGCAGTCCTGAAAGTAAGAGGAGAGCATGTTCACCCTGGGTGCGATGCTCGTTAATATATAGGATAAAAATGATCATGGAGACATGTGCTCCGTTACAAGGGTTTGTAATAAAGAATTGTTTTTTGAGACGGAGTCTCACTCTGGCACCCAGGCTGGAGTGCAATGGCACAGTCTCAGCTCCCTGCAACGTCCACTTCCCGGATTCAAGCAATTCTGCCTCAGCCTCCTGAGTAGCTGGGACTACAGGCATATTTGAGTAGAGACGGGTTTTCACCGTGTTGTCCAGGCTGGTCCTGAAATTCTGAGCTCAGGCAATCCACCCGCCTTGGCCTTCCAAAGTGCTAGGATTACAGGTGTGAGCCTCGGCACCCAGCAAGGAGTAATTTTCTTGATTACTGTATTTTGCAAGAATATTTATATATATATATATATATATATATATATATATAGAGAGAGAGAGAGAGAGAGAGAGAGAGAGAGTCTCGCTCTGTCTCCTAGGCCGGAGTACAGTGGTGCAATCTCAGCCCACTGCAACGTCCACTTCTCAGGTTCAAGCAATTCTCCTGCCTCCACCTCCCAAGTAGCTGGGATTACAGGTGTGCACCACCACACCCAGCTAACTTTTGTATTTTTAGTAGAGATGGGATTTCACCACATTGCTCAGGCTAGTCGCAAACTCATGACCTCAAATGATGTGCCCACCTTGGCCTCTCAAAGTGCTGGGATTGCAGGAATAAGCCACTGTGTCCGGTCTGATATTACCTTTAAAGCAAAATTAGGAATGCTTCTGCTAAAGATATCAAGGTATCGGGACACTCCCAAGTCTGGGTCTGTTGAGTAAACACTATGAATCTGTTCCCTTAACCATAAACATCTAGAGGCTAGGCATACCTAACTTCCTGTGAATGCAGCCCAGCAAGTCCCAGCCTCATTTCCTAGCCCTCACTCAGAACACAGTTGCTCTGCCTCAAATGTGTCTGACAAAGGTATGAGCCGGGGCTGTGGTCTCAACTGGGAAGGGTCTGCTTCCAAGCTCTGGCAGTGGTTGTTGCAAGGATTCAGTTCCTCAGGGGCATTTGGACTGAGGGTATCTGTTCCTCACCGACTGTTCGCTGGGGTCTGCCCTCAGTTTCTTGCCATGTGGACCTCTCCGTAGGTAGCATGGCAGTTCAAGTCATCAGAACAAGGAAGCATCAATAGTCAGAGGAAGAGGGACCGCAAGATGGAAGCCATGGTCTGTGACACTGACATACAATCACTTCTGCTCTATTCTGTTGCTTAGAAGCAAGTCACTAGGTCCAGCCTACATTCAAAGGAAGGGGATGAGGACCAGGCAGTGGGGGTTACTGACGACCATTTTAGAAGCTGTCCATTACAATATATGAAGATTCTCAGTGAGTAGCAGCTATTATTATGAACAAATGTGAAAACCCTTTGAAAAGCAATGTTCACGGCTGGGCATGGTGGCCCATGCCTGTAATCCCAGCACTTTGGGAGGCCAAGGTGAGCGGATCACAAGGTCAGGAGTTCAAGACAAGCCTGGCCGATATGGTGAAACTCATCTCTACAAAAAATACCAAAAAAAAAAATTAGCTGGGTTTGGTGGCATGCACCTTTAGTTCCAGCTACTTGGGAGGCTGAGGCAGGACACTCACTGGAACCCGGGAGGTGGAGGTTGCAGTGAGCCAAAATCGTACCATTGCACTCCAGTCTGGGCAATAAGAGCGAGACTTTGTCTCAAAAAAAAAAAAAAAAAAAGAAAGAAAGAAAGAAAAAGAAAAAGAAAAGCAGTGTTCACTACAAAAATAAAAGCAATGTACTGGATGATGTATTAGGGCCAAGAAATTTAACAATCGCATGATATTAGTAGTCAGAGATCAAGGTCAGGCATTGTACCTCATGCCTGTAATCTCAGCACTTATGGCCACGTGGGGAGGATCACTTGAGATCAAGAGCTTATGAGCAGCCTGGGTACCCGGGCAAAACCATATCTCTACTGAAAAAAAAAAAAAAAAAAAAAAAAAAAGGAAAAATCAAATTAGCTGAGCTCATGGCAACGCTTGTCTGTAATCCCAAGCTACTCGGGAGGCTGAGGTGAGAGGATGGCTTAAGCCCAGAAGGTCGAACCTGCAGTCATCTGGGATTGTACCCCTGTACTCCAGCCAAGGCAACAGATCATCCTTGTCCGCCCCAAAAATGGGTTGATTCTGACCATTACCAAGTTATCCAAAGACTGCATTTAAAAATGCCTTTAATTTAAATACTGATTTGATAACATGTTACCAAACACCAAAGCTAGAAGGCATCCATTTCTTCTACATAATGTTTTATCATGTATCCATATCCCATTCTAGTTATGTTAGAGTATGTGTATTTTTACAGAAATACAGATTAAAGTATTTTAAATATCATGTCAGTTCTCACTTAACTGTATTACAATGTTTAATCGTGCTGCGTGTTCTCTGTAACTAGCTCTAGGTATCTTTATATCCTTTAGCTGTCACATATGATTTCCTTTCAGTAGATAAATGTGAGAGCCATTGTTTGCTTACCCATCCCCTTAACTCTGGGGCATGTAAGTTGCTTCAGTGTTTTGCCATAAAAGCAATACTGTACTTGTGTTACCTTTTGTGTAGTAAATTTTTCCCCCCTAATTTGAATTAGGTCTTTAGGATAAAGTTCCAGAAAAGCAATTAGAACGCAAACATTTTAAAGGCTGTGTCAAGTTGTTATCCAAGTGAGAAGGCTTTGGTTTTCATACACAAACAGCTGCTCTGTCAGTCAGCCACAGGGTGAGTTCCTCAAAGGCAGGCACTATCTTGCTTTTTAATTTTGTTTGACCATAGTGACTGGCCTAGAAGCAACATTTTAATGAATATTTGTGGACTGAATGTATGAGCACACATACTTAAAAACTTGAGACTTCAGAAAAAATATTTAGGCTAGATCTATTGAAACTTTCTTTTCTTTTCACTTTTTTTTTCTTTGCTGAGACGGAGTCTTGCTCCGTCGCCAAGCTGGAGTGCAATGGCGCGATCTTGGCTCACTGCAATCTCCACCTCCCCAGTTCAAGCAATTCTCCTGCTTCAGCCTCCCGAGTAGCTGGGGCTGCAGGCGTGTGCCACCATGCCCAGCTAATTTTTTTTTTTTTTTTTTTTTTTTTGTGCTTTTAGTAGAGACAGGGTTTCACCGTGTTGGCCAGGATAGTCTTAATCTCTTGACCTTGTGATCCGCCCACCTCGGCCTCCTGAAGGGCTGGGATTACAGGCGTGAGCCACCGCACCTGGCTTTTTTTTTTTTTTTTTTTTTCCCTCCTTAATTAAGTGATGTGGCATTTCCATTTAGGTTTCACTGAGATGTGAAGCATGGGCCTGGGCCAAGTACTCAGCTCCGTGTTGCCCTTTCTGGATTTCATTGAACTCTCATGCCTCCCCAACTCCACCTCAACAGTTGGAATTCCACGTGGCAATAGAATGAGATCCTCAAAATGCAAACTGGATTCTGCAACACCCTTGCTATTTCAGAGGGTCCCAGGAGCCACCTGTTGGCCTGGCAAGGCCCCTAACATTTGAAAGGCAACAGTAGGCCCTCTTTTCTGGGAAGAATTCTAGAGTGTTCGGGGAAAATCCCGCCGAGGCAGAGACAACATCTCCCAGTAACCAGAATCATGAGAATTTTCCTCAATGCAGTTCAGCCTTGGGTAATGGGTCCACTTAGCCCAAATGTACATCAGAATTGAATAACATGGAAGTCAGCAGGGCACAAACCACCTTCGGAAAGTATTTGTATTAGTCAAAATGTAATCTGACCAATACACCCTGCCACCCTAAAGCATGTAACTCCCAGAACTCCAGAGAGCCTTCCCCCCAGCCTTTTAGAGAAATGTACATCTACTTATTTCAAGAGCTGTCACCCTCATTTTATCGACCCAGAAGATGTTTGCACAAGATAAGGGTGTGTGAATGACAGCCAGAATTTATTTGCACCCTACCGCCCAACAGCGCCCTCTAGCTTCTAAGCTTGAGCCGCAGCGCCCTCTGATGGTCACTCGACAGTTTGCGTCGTCCAAGCCCCCTTTTCACCTGGGCAGCATCTCACCTAACCAGCACCTGTTTGTTGGTTACCTTGTCTCGCAGGTCAAAGAGGCCATGCAGCGGATCCATGACCGAGGGAACATTGGCAAGTTAATTCTGGATGTAGAAAAGACTCCAACTCCACTGGTGAGTGAAAAGCAAGAGGAGACTGTTCAGTTCCACATGAGAGATGCACCACGGGTGAATCAGATGCAGTACAGGGTGGGTAGAAGGAAGTACAAGTAGCTTGTGGGCTAGTGGAGGGGACCAGGGGTAATCAAATGATTTCACACAGGAGGGATTCACCACAAACTGAGATGAACGCTGAAAAGGAAAGGCCAGTGCTTCAGTGAGAGGATATCAAAGCAATCTGAAGGCACAGGCATTTGTTTCTATGAAAGCATAGAAACGATAGACCTGTCTATTATAGCTGCTAGCTGTTGGGAGAAACTTCTGGAAAATTTCAATGATGTCACATTCATGTTCCTAACAGAATGATGCCAGCGGCCTCTGAGATGCTCCCTGTTGGTTCCATTGAGGTTTTGGTTTTTGTTTGTTTGTTTGTTTTTGAGATGGAGTCTCACTCTGTCACCAGGCCGGAGTGCAGTGGCATGATCTTGGCTCACTGCAACCTCCTCCCGGGTTCAAGCGATTCTCCTGCCTCAGCCTCCAGAGTAGTTGGGACTACAGCAGTGCGCCATCATGCCCGGCTAATTTTTGTATTTTTAGTACAGACGAAAGTTTCACCATGTTAGCCAGGATGGTCTCGATCTCTTGACCTCATGATCTGCCCTACTCGGCCTCCCAAAATGCTGGGATTACAGGTATGAGCCACTGCACCTGGCTTTATTTTTCTTCAAGACAGAGTGTCACTCTGTCATCCAGGCTGAAATGTCATGACGCTATCTCAATTCACTGCACCCTTCACCTCCTGGGCTCAAGTGATCCTAGCCCCTTGAGTAGCTGAGACTACAGGCAAGCACCACCATGCCCAGCTAATTATATATATATATTTTTTTTTTAGAGACAGGGTCTCACCACGTTGCCTAGGCTGATCTCCAACTCCTGAGTGTAAGCAATCTGCCTACCTCTGTCTCCCAAAATGTTGAGGTTGTAGGCATCAGCCACCATATCCAGCCGTGATTTTTTTTTTTTTCCTTACAAGGACAAAACCCTCTATCCCAGGGATGCCACCAGGAGTATAGCATGTCAAATTCATGCCCCACCTGTTCGTCCCAGGGCCTCTAAAGGAGGGAACATGCAGGGGAGTGGTAGTGCCTGGGCTATCTGACTGCATGGATTCAAAACCCTGAGCCCCTGTTTATGACCTCAGAAAGTTGACCACTCAGCTTTGATCCCCTGTCTGTAAATTGGAGATAAGTTCTCAAAAGTCAGTTAGAATGGCATTCATAAAGCATTGTCCGATATGTACTAAGTTCCAGGTCATCTTTAACAAAGAAAATAGGAAAGGTTTCTTGTTTGTTTATATACATTCATTCTTGAAGCTGCATCCATTCTTTGAAAAAAGAGAATGAACTAAAATGTTTTTGCATATTGTCATCCAAGGTGTCTTTTTTTTTTTTGAGATGGAGTTTCACTCTTGTTGCCCCAGGCTGGAGTGCAGTGGTGTGATCTCGGCTCACTGCAACCTCTGCCTCCTGAGTGCAAGCGATTCTCCTGCCTCAGCCTCCCAAATAGCTGGGATGACAGGCATGTGCCACCATGTCCAGCTAATATTATATTTTTAGTAGAGATGGGGTTTCTGTATGTTGGTCAGGCTGGTCTCGAACTCCCAACCTCAGGTGATCCACCCACCTTGGCCTCCTAAGGTGCTGGGATTACAGGCATGAGCCACTGTGCCCAGCCAATGTGTGTACTTTAAAACTATTTCCATGACTTTTGTAACCATAATGCAGTTTTGGTATGACAGTCATTTCATTCAACGAAGGACAATGTCACCATTGTAAGATGCCCTCTCATCAAGTAACTGACACTATATGGCTGTAGCTTATTAAATGCTTACTATGCTCCAGGACTGTTCAAAGAAGAATAGAGGACAAGGTTGGGGAGGGGCTGGCAAGGATCCTGAGTCTCCTGTACACCTACTGTATACCCTTCAAACATATGACCAAGTCTGTTTCAGCCCCATTTGTAGAAGGCAGACAGGCTCTAGGGCCATCCTAGAAACAGACTGCTTTCAAGCAAAATATTGGCACCAATTTCCCACTCCGGGATGCTCCTGTGTTCATTACACATGAGTTGCTGCCAAGTCCTTGGGCTGGTAGAAAGGCCTGTCTTACCAAGCGGGGATTCTTACCAGAGCAGATGCTGAAAAGCCCACCTTTCTGGGTGAAAGCACAGGAACTGCCTGTGCCACACACAACATGTGTGGGGGTGACAATGTCATTGTCCTTGTTTCTGAACCTCCTGAAGGCTTTTTTCTTTCTTTCGAGACGGAGTTTCACTCTTGTTACCCAGGCTGGAGTGCAATGGCGCGATCTCCGCTCACCGCAACCTCCGCCTCCTGGGTTCAAGCAATTCTCCTGCCTCAGCCTCCTGAGTAGCTGGAATTACAGGCATGCGCCACCATGCCCAGCTAATTTTTGTATTTTTAGTAGAGACGGGGTTTCACCATGTTGACCAGGATGGTCTCGATCTCTTGACCTTGTGATCCACCCGCCTCAGCCTCCCAAAGTGATGGGATTACAGGCTTGAGCCATCGTGTCCGGCCCGCTTTTTTCTTTTTTGAGATGGAGTTTCACTCTGTAGCCCAGGCTCGAGGGCAGTGGCACAATCTCAACCCACTGCAACCTCTGCCTCCCGGCTTCCTGTGACCCTCCTGCCCCAGCCTTCCAAGTAGCTGGAATTACAGGCATGCACCACCATACCAAGCTAATTTTTGTATTTTTAGTAGAGACAGAGTTTCACCATGTTGACCAGGCTGGTCTCAAACTGCTAACCTCAAGTGATCCACCCACCTCAGCCTCCCAAAGTGCTGGGATGACAGGTGTGAGCCACCGTGCCTGACCCTCCTGAAGGCTTTTATCCCTGGGACCAAAATAAACAAAAAGACAGTAGAGAGTGGGTATTCGGAGCAACCACGGGGTAGAAGAGAGGCTGTGGCCCGTTTAGGCAAAGAGTGGACTTGAAGGAGAGGGAGCGTGTAGTCAGGTTAAATGGAAGATGTGGAGATGCAGGAGGGGTCCAGTGAGGTCATTTTAGGGTTAGCACTTGAAGGAAGAGGAAAAACACAAGGTCCAGGTTCAGGAGGATGTGCCACTGTCCACTCAGCAGCTGTCGGAGGAGGGGTCGGAGGCACCTCTCTCCTACTGAAATGCCACCGTCTCAAAAAAAAAAAGAAAAAGAAAAAAAAAGTCTCACTCTGTTGCCCAGGCTGGAGTCCAGTGGTGCAATCTCGGCTCACGGCAACCTTCACGTCCCAGGTTCAAGTGATTCTCCTGCCTCCCCATCCCAAGTAGCTGGGATTGCACGTGCACACCACCATGCCTGGCTAAATTTTGTATATTTAGAAGAGATGAGGTTTCATCCTACTGGCCAGGTTGGTCTTGAAATCTTGACCCCAAGTTATCTGCCCACGCTGGCCTCCCAAAGTGCTAGGATTATAGGCGTCAGCCACCGTGCCTGGCCATGACCCCTCGCAGCCCTCCCTCAGTCTTGAATCTGCCAAGCCAGCATGCTGCAGGACACACCGCTCCTCTAGAATAGTCTGGGCTACAAGGCACGGGGCAGCAACCAAGCAGGGGAAGTCGATTGTTATTGACAGCTCCAGAAGTGAATTTCCTGGGAAGCCCTAAAAGTGGAGTCTCTCCTGCTCAGAGCCTCCTCTTGATGAGGCTGGGCGAAAGTGAAGTCGGAACTCATCCTATGATGGGTCATGGGGTCAGAGCAAAGGCAGAACTGCTGCCTCTAGACCCCACAGTACCAGAGGGCAGCCCTGCCCCAGTCCTGGCCATCTGACCAGTGCCCTAGTGAACAAGGTTGGCCTTTCCTGAAGGCTCCTGACCTCTGCTGCCCTTATGACGTCTGCGGGTACATTATCTCAGTGTCTCCCTTTCCACTGCTGTAGAACAGAGCTAACAATAATTACTACGATTGCTACTGCTTCATAGAGTCATTGAGAAGATTAAAAGGACCAATGTTTGTGAGCAAACTGGCATAACGGTGACTATGTATTATAATAGACTACTAATGGACAGGCACAGTTCCTCCCCTCCCGTATTTGGCTAGTTCTACGTTATCCTGAAAGCACTTACTGCACAGGTACCTAGTTGCGGGGAAGAAAACTGCAGAGACCTGGTCCTCTCCTGCGGTGTCTACAGTTTGGCAGGGACAGACGGACACTGGTCCATGAGCCAGTCGTATAAATGGGACAGTGCAACTCTTGATCAGTGCTACGAAGAAGAGGTGTTTGGGCCACGAAAGCTCATAATAGGGAGATTGTTCCAGTTCGGGAACTTTGGAAAGGCTTTCCCAAGGTAGTAGGATTAGCTCTGAAGGAAAAGTAGGCATGGACTGGGCTGATGGAGTGGAGGGATGACATTCCAGGGAGAAGGCATTGCACGTGCGTGGTCAAGGGGAAAAGCCCAGCTTCGGGTCAGAGAACACGGGGTGGGCTGAAATTCAGGGACCAAATGCTTGTTTGTCAGAATAAGCTGTGATGCAGGTGGGGACTCAAGTTTGGGAGACCTGGGGCCCAACCGAGATCTAGGAGCTTAGAACGGAAATCTGAGGCATAGCTCTGGCAGGGGGATGTTAATGAACAGAACTAATTTGTTCGGAGCCTCTCTCATGCTCAGCCTTTTGCTGGACTCTTTAGGGACATTACTCCATGTTCTTTCACCTGGTTCTTATAACAACTTTATAAGGCAGGTGGATTTACCGCCACTGTAATGACGGAGGAAAGGAAGGCCCAGAGGGGCAATCCTAACTATGCCAGGTACCAGTGATCAACAAAAGAAAAGGAGCCAGGCAAAATCCCTCTCCTCCCAGAAACTGTATTCCAGTAGGGGAACAGAGAGCTAAAAGTAGATAAATACACCTTTGTTCTGGTTGTTGTATCTGCTCCTCCTAAGCGACGGCATCAGGACTTCAACCCTGGTGGCTCAGTGCAGCTGATATTCTCAATACCCCTCCCATCTCCCCTTGGCAATCGGGTCCCCTGCATTCCAGGGGCTTCCTTTCATGGGCACCTGCCCCCCGACTGCCTCAGAGCTAACTCTGGTCACCAGAGCATGCTTTCTTTGCACAGAACCTGCGTGAGAGAGAGATAACTCACCTCCCCTGAGAACAGACGTCAGCCATACTGAGGTTTCCTCCTTCCGCAGAAGGACAGACTCTAAGATGTGCCCCATAGGGTCTCTCAGAGGTCCCAGCAGGACTCAGTCCCACTGCCAACACAGGAACCAACTTACCTACATACTCTGCCTTAGATTCTTCTCCTTTTCTGTCTCATTTCTTCACTCCTCTGTTAGTACTTCCTGGGATCATCTCCTAAATTCCAGATACTTACATTCAAATCCTTATCTTAGCACCCTCTCTTGGGGTGCCTGTCGTATGATGGCTAATACCATGCTGCCTTCCAAGGAAACAAGCAACCCCAGCTCCCAGCCCCCAAGAAGTCCTCCCATGGGACGTCCTCAGATGCTCAGAGATGACGGGGCCAGGTTGCACAGCCCTCACTAACATCCTCTTTTGAATTACAGATGGCCAATGACAGCACAGAGACCAGTGAGGCAGGGGAAGAAGAAGAGGACCACGAGGGAGACAGCGAGAACAAGGAGCGGATGCCCTTTATCCAGTAACCCAGGAACCCAGATGGGAGAATGTGAAAGGCGGTTTGCAAGAAGAGGACCTGGCTGAGCAAACTCTTCTGTGCCCCAGTGAACAAATGCTGTAGTCCAGTGCGTGTCGTGTTTGTCTGCAGTCAGCTGAGCTAAAAAGCTGTTGATCACTGTTGTTTTTTGAGATTAAGTGCCAATCCCATTCCATGCAGTATTATGTCCCTCTATCTGCGTATTACACACTCCCCTCTCCCCTGCATCAAAACCGTCTGTCTGTGGGTTCTTCTTGACAGTTCTAGAACAGCCTTGCAAATTAATACAAGCCCCGCGCTCTATGCCTAAGAGACCAGACACGGGGAAAGACCAGTTTGGATGGAAAGGTGTTATCACAGAGCCCTGTCTAGCTCCTAGAACTCTTCAGGCCAATGACACTCTTTCGCTGCCGGCCACCCTTGCCTCTGATGAGAACACTTGCCAATTTGGCCGGCAGAAAGAGAGTAGGTCAGGAGATGTTTTCATGAGCCCACAAATTTAGAAACTCTCCTAGTAGTGCTTTTTCTCTCTCCATTTAAGAGACAACGAGGGTCAAAAGTTTGAGCCATTCTCTTCTACCCTGCTTCAGTGTTTGACCCTTCCACTGGTTCTTATCCATAAACACAGGGAGGCGGGTATAGGTTTTTTACAGTAGACAAGTGGGTCAACAGCATGCGTTTGAGGACCTGCCATGTAGATTTCTCCTCCAAAACACATCTCATCAGCAGGATTGTTCCTGCTCCATATTTATTTTAAGAAAACTCACCACACACAAGACGCATTCAGAAGTCATTCCTGAGAATTGCTGGTGTTTGCATGCTTGCCACCTCCATTACCAATTCTGCAATTTTCAATTGCTGGTGGAAAGTGACCACTCTGACCATGGATCCCCCAAGGAAGAAGAGTTCCCTTGCAGACCACAGGTAGAAAAATCAGTGAGTATCTCCTTCCGTGCCAAAGCATGTGCCAACATGTGACCAACTCTAGTGATACAAAAGGTGTATATTCAGCATCTGGTCCCAGATGTACACTTCCTCCCCTCCCATAGATAAACCTCTGGTGCAGAATCTTCAGTGCCGTGGCTCCTGGGCAACCAAGGACCAAGCCACCTGCTTACACACCTTGTTCAGGTTTTCAGCTCCTTAGGAACCCCACTCCCATGCCATTTGACTGTGCTTGAGAGATGAAAATAGCTGCCCTTGAGAAAGAAAAGGAATCCCAATGTCTCCCCCAGTGGAGCTCCTCATTCCCTCCTTCCAGTCCTTTTGGCTAAAATGGTTAACTTTATCACTCACAGACCAATCCGAAAATACTAGGAGTTCATGGGATTGGTATCCCAACTTTCTTTGTGTTCTGAAAAATATCAAAGGGCTTTCACGTTGCCCAGTTTCTCCACCAACAAGCCTTAGGGTGGACCCAACCCTTTCCCCAGTGGTAGGAATGAATGCATCTTAGCAATTACCTGTCTGTTTTCCAAAGTCCCTTTGTAGCAAATGTCACCTCATTCATCATGTTCTTTTTCCTATCCTAAGCTTATGATGACTTATGTATGCCAAATATTTATCTGAAGAGTTTCTCCTCATGGTGAATGTGTGTATAAAACATGAAGACCAGAAAGGGTGCTGTCATCTGAGGAACCAAGTGATGTGAGTATCCCAAAAGAGGACACCAACATCGTCTTTCCTTCCTACTCCAGGACTCACCAGTTCTGGGCCAGTATCTTCAGAGAGATAATGGGGAATTTGTTCCCCTATTACCTTTGCTAAGTGCTATATTATTGGTTGTTTCTCCCATAACCATGCTGAAAAGGGAGTCCCCTAAGGATAACCAGCATCCAAGTGGCATTCCTAGTAAGTTGGGCTGAAGTGGCATTTTCCAGAGCTGAAGAAGTAAAGAGCCATTGGCCATATTAGGGCTGTCCTTCCCCCAGAAAAGTGGGAACTCAGCTACAGTCAGAATTCACATCTTCGTTATGTGCAGAGGAGAGGTATAAAAAGGCATCCCCTCCAAATTGATTTGGTTTGGGTTTGTCCAACTAGCAAAGTTAATCCAGTAATCACAAATTATGCCAGGTGGTTAAAGAAAACTCATTCCTCTCCATACAGAATGAGGAAACTAGAGTTTGACCACTAAGACCAATTTCTGCCATGAAGATTGGGGGGACACAAGTTAATTGTTCAATGTGCTCTCATTTTAAGCACCTTCTTCCCTGTCTCTTGATTGTCATTTCTGAAGAAGTGTAAAGAATGTCTCAGTCTGCCTTAAAGGAACTGTGAAGGCTTCTCTGTAATTTAAGCTTGATTGAAGTGAACTGAAATATTGTCTAATGTCTTCGTGGCTTTAGAGCTTTTGTTATATTGTGCCTACAAAGCAAATTATGTTTACACAAAAATATAAAGTATTCAGCATAGCCAAACCTTGCCTGGCATCTGTTATTCCACATACATCATTGCTGGATAAGCAGTCGCACTATTAAATATGCAAAGAATGGGGAACTGAAAAAGGAAAAGTTAAAAACCTGGTAGGATCATCTCCAGATGAGAAACTAAAGACCCCATAAAGAAAACAGGAGTTAGGGCCGGGTGCAGTGGCTCAAGCCTGTAATCCCAGCATTTTGGGAGGCCGAGGCTGGTGGATCACAAGGTCGAGAGATCGAGACCATCCTGGTCAACATGGTGAAACCCCGTCTCTACTAAAAATACAAAAAATTAGCTGGGCATGGTGGCGTGTGCCTGTAATCCCAGCTACTCAGGAGGCTGAGGCAGGAGAATTGCCTGAACCCAGGAGGCGGAGGCTGTGGTGAGCCGAGATCGCGCCATTGCACTCCAGCCTGGGTAACAAGAGCGAAACTCCATCTCAAAAATAAAAGAAAAGAAAAGAAAAAGAAAACAGGAGTTAAGAGGAGAAAAGCCTTTAAAACCAATTCAGGTTCCCTCCACCTAGAAAGTAAAACCATTAGGTAAAAGAAGAAAAAAAAAAAAAAAAAAACTATTGAAAACATCCTATGGGCCAGGCATGGTGGCTCACACCTGTAGTCCCACCACTTTGGGAAGCCGACACCGGTGGATCACTTGAGGCCAAGAGTTCGAGACCAGCTTGGCCAACACGGTGTAACCCCATCTCTACCAAAAATACCAAAAGTATCTGGGTGTGGTGGTATATGCCTCTAATCCCAGCTACTCGGGAGGCTGAGGCAGGAGAATCACTTGAACCCAAAAGGCAGACATTGCAGCAAATCGAGATCACACCACTGCACTCCAGCCTGGGCAACAGAACAGGACTCTGTCTCAGGAAAACAAAACAAAACCATAAAAACTATCCTATGATCAGGATGACAGTGATGATACAGATAAATATAGAATAACAATAATGCCAAACAGTTATAAGGCACATGTTGCTGAAAACTGTCCACTTATTAATTCACATGCCCTCCCCACAGCTCTGAGAGGTAAGGTCTATCATTATGTCCACATACAGGTGACAAGATTGAAATATGGGGAGCTTGTGGCCTTGTGCAAGATCACACGCTAGTAAGTGACAGAGCTACAACTCACCAATTTCAAAGCACACTCTTGCCTCCAGAATGCATTCTCTCCACCACCTGATCACGCTACCCTGAACCTCAAATAAGGGTAAAATACAATGCATTTCAAATTAGCGATCCCTTGTTCACCTGAAACCCATTAGGGATTCAGTTTTCTCTGATTTCAAGGGTATTCTTATAAATTTGTCTTGCTTAGTAGCAAATAATGTGCATGTCCAGAAGTATGTTTATTTTTCCAGTCTCCCATGCACATGTTGGGTGACATACTGATTTTGAAACCCACAGGTCTCATCAGTAGTCTTCATTTTCATGATCTAAAAATCCTCCAGGTCACCAAAGAGATACACAAAAGTAAATATCCAAAAGCTAGGGTTTCACGAAAGCACAATTCATGGCTGGGGAGGGTGTACTGTGTTTTACCATATTTCTCAGCAGGAAGCCAACAAAACAGTCAAGTCTATGTCGATAAAACACCACGTATATAAACTAGAATTGAGAAAGTAGGAAGTCACGCTGTCAGTGGAGTTCTTAGGAAGTCACACACTACCAAGTTTCTTGGTTTTGGTTTTTGTTTTGTTTTGAGATTGGGTCTTGCTCTGTTGTCCAAGCTGGAGTACAGGGACACAATCACACCTCACTGCAGCCTCAACCTCCAGGGTTCAAGCAGTCCTCCCACTTTAGCATCTCAAGAAGCTGAGACCACAGACACATGCCACCATACCCAGCTAGCTTTTTGTTTTATTATTTTTATTATTATTATTTTGAGACAGAGTTTCACTCTTGGTATCCAAGTTGGAGTGCAATGGTGCCATCTCGGCTCACTGCAACGTCCGCTTCCCAGGCTCAAGCAATTCTCCTACTTTAGCCTCCCAAGTAGCTGGGATCACAGGCATGTGCCACCATGCCAGGCTAATTTTTTGTACTTTTTGTAGAGGGGGTTTCTCTGTGTTGGTCAGGATGGTCTCAAACTCCCGACCTGAGGTGATCCACCCACCTCGGCCTCCCAAAGTGCTGGAATTACAGGCATGAGCCACCATGCCCAGCCGCTTTTTCATTTCTTGTAAAGACAGGGGTCTCCCTATGTTACCCCGGCTGGTCTCATACTCCTAGGCTCAAGCAATCCTCCCACCTTCATCTCCCAAAGTGCTGGGATTACAGGCATGAGCCACTGCATTGGACCCTTGTGTGTGTGTGTGGTGTTGTTGTTGTTTTTTTTTTTTTTTTTTTTTTTTTTTGAGACCAAATCTCACTGTCACCCAGGCTGGAGCCCAGTGGTATGATCTTGGCTCACTGCAACCTTCATCTCCTAGGTTCAGGCAACTCTCCTGCCTCAGTCTCCCGAGTAGCTGGGATTACAGGTGCACACCACCATGCCTGGCTAGTTGTTATATTTTTAGTAGAGATCCGGTTTCACCATGTTGGCCAGGCTGGTCCAGAACGCCTGACCTCAAGTGATTCACCTACCTTGGCCTCTCAAAGTGCCCTATACTCTTATTTAATGCTCATGTTCTCTGTATGAATCCCATGGCTGCACCCAGCCAGTGCTAGTGCACTGTCACATTTAAAAATGGCTCAGCCACTAACACTAGAATCTAAACTAAATCCACATCCTTACTTATAAATGGAAATGGGAAAGAGGTCTACTAGGAGCTGGAAGTTTTTTGTTTTTTGTTTTTTGACACAAGGTCTCACTGTCACCCAGGCTGGAGTATAGTGATGATCTCCACTCACCGCAGCCTCCACCTCCCAGGCTTGAGCAGTCTCTCTCACCTTAGCTTCCCCAGTAGCTAGGATTACAGGTGTGTGCCCCCACACCCAGCTAACTAATTTTTTGGAGAGAAGGAGTCTTTCTATATAGCCCAGGCTGCTCTGGAACTCCTGAGCTCAAGCAATCCTCCCACCTTAGCCTCCCAAAGTGCTGAGATTACAAATGTGAGCCACCCTGCCCAACCCAAATTAATTTTTAAAAAGTTTGAAGGAGGTTAGGGTAGAGTAACATTTCAAAAGCCATTTGGGGCATAGGAAACATTTGTGTATGAGCAAGGAGGAGAACAATTTTAGGAGCAGAGACTACGACCGTGTAGCTGAAATACAAGATCGAGGGGAAGAAATAGAGCAGGAGATGGGCACCATGGGAAGTCAGTGCCAGGTCTGGAAGTGGTTGAGTGCCAAGCTGGTCCTCTTCGATGTTAAGGAGAGGAACAAGGCCATGCAATGAAGGGTGTGATATAAAAGCTTGGGAGGCGATTTCTGAGGGTAGGTGCTGGGTTTCATGGGAGGAGAAATAAGAGCCCATAGGTGGCCACGGAGCCAGACATCAAATGCCTTGACTCCTGTGCCTTGGTTTGGGTCTTCCAGAATCAGACATTGAAACAAGGATTTGACCGTCGGCGTGTTGGGGAGGTGGTGACCCCAAGAAGCACAGAGAGCAGGAGGTAGGGAAAGTAGGGCAGCAGAGGAAAGAAGCCAATTCAGGCTGTGTTGGTGAGCAGGCAACCACTACCAGACACTGCAGGCATGATCAGAACGGTCCCACTGAAGGGTAAGGATGCAGTCACGATTACCCATCAATTCCCATGCATTGTTGGCTGGGGACTGCTCTCAACAAGGTGTTCATTCCTTTCCTTCCCTTCCTGTCTTGGCCCCCATACGAACCAAGCACATTGCTGTGGCCAGTCATTGGCCTCGGGAAGCCACAGGAAGCCCTTGGTCTGTATGGGAACTGCGAGGGAGTGTGGAAGCAGTGCCACAGCTCCTATTGTAACTCGTCTCAGAACTTCCTTTTTATTCTGAAGTTAATGGAGAAAGTTTTTGAGGCTTTCCACAATCTAGGTTTCAGTCTTAGTGACTACTCCAGCTATGTTCCATCACCTCACACCAACACTTCTTTTACATTTCATTCTGTCAGTGGGTCTCTTCACTTGGAGAATAGTTTCTGCTCAGAGGAGATAGCCAAAATGCCTTGCCAGCTCATTAGGATGTGTTCCTTCATTGGGATCTTCCCGACAAATTGTAGGTCTCCTTATTCAGGGGACCAGATAAATCTGGGCTCTCGTTACATAATTCTGTGTTTGTTCAACACAGATTAAATGAGCATTTACTAGACACGGGACCCTGTTCCAGGTCATAGAAATAGAAAGAAAATTAGACAGATTCTGCATCAAGAAATTCAGTCTAGAGCTGTGCTATCGAATAGAAATATAACATGAATGGCATACGAAGTTAAATTTTCTAGTAGTCATATTAGATGAGTAAAGAGAAACAGATTTTAATATAATTTAGCCCAATGTATACAGAATGTTGTTTTTTCAACATGTAATCAACAGAAAGGTTATTAATGCCATAGTTTATGTTCTACTCTTCATACCAACACTCCAAAATATGGTGTGTATTTTATAGAGAGACAGGGTCTCACTGTTGTACAGGCTGAAATGCAGTGGCATGATCATAGCTCATTGTAGCCTTCAACTCCTGCATGCAAGTGATGCCTCAGGCTCCCAAAGTGCTGAGATTACAGGGATGAGCTACCACACCTGGCCCTGGTATGTATTTTACACTTACAGCACATCTCAACTTTGACTACACACACTTTAAACGTTCAGTAGCACCTGTAACCCATGGCTATGATTTTGGACAGGCAGGTCTAGAGGAAGGGCAGGAATGGACTGCAAGATATAAACGTAACTTTAAAGATGTAATGGTAGAGGGCATAATGAAAGTGCAAAGTAGGGAGGGGATGGCAAGGAAAGCAGACGGAGGAGGTGATGCTTGAGTGAAGTCATGCAAGTTGAGCACATGTTATCCAGGAGAATAAGGTATTTAAAGCACCAGGATTGTGCCTGGCACACCGCAAGCAGTCCATAAACATTTTCTTT